GACAGAGATATGTCGGAAGTCAGTTTGAATTGATTTTAACGAGGATGATCGACAGATTTTAACTTTCAGCAGTCATTAGTTTAAAAAGTGAGAAACTTCCAAGTCAAATCATAAAAAAATCAGTTTTCATACAATGAACACAGGAAAGAACAGGCAACGGTTAGGAAGGGTCGGAACTAGCGCACTCAGATTGTTCGTCAGTACAAAATCTTTTCGGCTTTACACTGATTTTAAGCCTCAATTCAACTGCTTGAGCTGTACAGCAGCCTAATTGGTGAAATGTTGTGTTTGTTAGTCGGAAAAGACAACAAGTTGGATTTTGCAATCGCTAGCGATAGCAATATTCGTCATGGGAACGTTAGCTTCTGGGATATGAAAATGTTAAGGTACAGTTCGTTTGTAGTATCTTCTGAATTGAAGGGGCTATGTAATTTTGTGTTGACATCTCTTTTTTAACATTTTTAATTATTTTCTTTGCATACGAGAAAGCTGTTATGTACCAATTATTTATTTTCGTTGGATTATATATGGTTTTCGGAAGTTAACGCATTTAAGTTTCAGGTTCGCTTTTTCGGTGTAAAGTATACGTAAGGTGTCCCAAAAGCACCGGGACTTGTTCTGTAACTTCGAAAGTAAGATAGATACAGACATGATCTTGATTTCATTTTAAAGATCAACTCATAATACCTATCGATTAAAACCAAGATCAGCTCAATCAGATAAAAATTGACAGAGTTATGACAATTTGAAATCAGCGAGGAAAGTTTACGCCTACGGTTTTTAAGGAAGATTCTTCATCGCCGTAAATCGAAAAGTCGGCCGATAAAGTGATACTTATCGTGTTTTTTTATTTTCGAGGTGTCATTTATCAACATTTTGTACCATCAAACACAACAGTTGACAGTGCGTATTATTGCAAAGTACTAAAGAAGTTGAGAATGCACATTTCCCGGAAACGGTCGGACTTGAAAGCTTCGTGGATACTCCATCAAGACAATGCGCGGCCTCACACATCGAGCTTAACACGTGAATTTATGAGTAAAAATGGAGTTGAAACAATCCCTCATCCCCCTTGTAGCCCTGACTTGGCTCCATGTGATTTTTGGATGTTTCCTACGCTTAAAAAGGAGCTTCGCGGACGAAGATTCGTATCGAAGACCGAAATCCAGAATGCAATTCAAAACTTCTTCAACTCCATCCCAGAGGAAGAATTCAGGAAAACAATGTTGGATAAGTGGCAAGAGCGTATGAAAAAGTGCATCCGGTTTGATGGACGGTACTTTGAAAAGCAAAAGGAAGTTATAGAAGATTCGGAGGAAAGTGGATACGAATATTAACTTTTTGAATCCTGGTAAGCGAAAAATCTTCCTAAAAACCGCAGGGGTAAACTTTCCTCACTAATTTCAAATTGTCATAACTCGGTCAATTTTTATTCGATTGAGCTGATCTTGGTTTTAATCGATAGGTATTGCGTTGATCTTTAAAATGAGACCAAAATCATGTCTGTATCTATCTTACTTTTGAAGTTACAGAACCAGTCCCGGTACTTTTGGGACACCCTACGTATGATATTTTTACTCTACACATATGCCCGAATACGCATCATAAGGGACCTATGTGCTTCCTAAGTTGCCAAGTATTAATTATTGCTTGATGATTGGTCTAAAACATTCAATACAACCAGTAAAAATTAACTGTCTCCTACGAGATTCGAACCCCCGCTCGCACAAAAAGGGACGTCATCAATACGCTGATGCAGTATCGTTGTCATCTGAGCTGTCTCCGATCACGTGGTCTGCCAGAGAAAGAAGAACAGTTAAGTGATCTCGGACGCTGAGCGGGGCTTCACAAAAGAAGACCTTGTGGTTTCGGCGGTGCGGTGATATGTGACACCGGATGAAGCGCATTTCTCTGTGAGACATTGTTTGCCTATGCTTTCATGTGTCACAAGGTTCATCTCAGCAGGCATTTGCGATCGCGGCAGTAAACTGAGGCAATATTTCTGTATTCATGGATTAAATCCATCAATCGAGTTCTGATTTTGGCTCATATATCCGTAACGGGTCCTCCAGAGCAATTTTCCACCTTGTACGATGGTTATTATTTCTTTATATCTATGTTTAAAATTTGAGGTGGGATAATGGCGGCTTCTCAAGAGCACCGAGGTAGGCGATCTTTTGCACCAACGAACAGAAAACTGATGGCGAAAAATAACCAATCAGAACCTCCCAAAAAAAAGAATTTGCCCAAAAACGGAACTTCGTGGTTCTGCGCAGATTTACCAGTCAGACACGACATCTCAAGGGGGAAAAAAACTCGCTGAAAGCGAATTTTAGAAATCAACACAACTTGACGTAGAGACATGATTGGCTAAAAAATACAACGGTTTTTGATACATCGGAAAATCAACCAAAAATCGAAGACTGGGCGAAACGCTCAAGGTCGCAGAGGCATAGGGAATCCCATAGCGATAGCAACGGAACGATTGTAATATCATGGGGACCTCCGTTCCCATGACAATATAAGGAGAACGAAGTCGTGTGATTGGTCGGTGCCCTGAATCTTGTGTCTTGTCGTGCTGATAAAGGAAGGATTTGGGTAGGGTGAGATTTGAAAGGATAGATGAAGTATCGGGAATTCAAGAGGTGCTTTTAGCTTCTCGTCGATTACACCCTTTATAGGCACGTCAATACGCACAACTCAGAGCGCCGACCAATCACATAACTCCATTCTCCCTGATCTTTTCTCAACCGATCGACAAACACAAAATTTCACCAATCAGGCTGCAGGACCTTTGAATTACTGAACTTCACGTTTGCCAGGACAGTTATTGGGTGAATTCTGCAGCTTTCGCGCTATTAACTACGTTACTTTAGTGCCCGTATACTTGGGCATAAAATGCTGAAGGAAATCGAAGGCTGCAAAAGTCCAACTTTCGTGATTCTGTCAACACGATGTTACGACGCATTTGTGCGCGAAGAACTTGGGTGAAAATTGGCTAGGCGTAGCTCTATGCAATTTTTCCCTTTGCTTCAAATCCATTTTTTGTGTTTTTCCGTAAGTTACGTCACATGAGAGAATAGTGGGATTTCTAACAGTAGAAAGTGATACGTTGTCGCTGGCTTTGCGTCCTTTAAATAGCGTTGAAAAAAAAAAACGCATTGGTACGAAACGTAATTTTTTTTGTATTTATTCTTTTGAGATGACTCAGTTGCGAAGATGGCGGTTATCCAAAAATTACTGCTGGAATTTTCCGCTTGTTTTTGTCTCGCTGGGATTTGCGTCGAACAAGGCCTCCTAACGCACTCACGATCAGTTCATGAAGCGAGTTGCGATTTATCAGGCGAGGGTTGGCAAGTGTGGAAAACACCGTAGACCTATGAAGATTTTTGTTTTCACTTTCAACCCTCTTAAATTTCTATTGCGAAAGGTTTGTGTAATCGATTTCCCTTCGATTAAAAATTTATGAGTTTTCGAATATTTGCAAATTTGTGGCAAATAGTCACACGGAGAGAATTGGCCGGAGTGTAACTACCTTAAATTGTTACTTTAGACGACCCTCAGCTCCACTTCAGCTTCAATTTCAACTGCGTGAATTCGCGGGGTCGATGAAAAGGATTTTTGGCCCGTGGTGCAAGTCAAGAATGAAATTTACATGGGGTTGTTTACATATGGCCTGGAAAAAATTTAAGCTCGTGCAGCTAGGGAAGAAGCTGAGTTCTGGAGTTAAATTTCTTGAAAAAATATACCACAAAACAAAATATTTCTTCAAAATCATATGATCTTCTTTTTCCTTTTCTTCAAAATCCTTCTCACAATGATCATTACGAAGATGCACGATTTGATAACATCGAAAAGTCATAAGAATATTTCATACTGTCTGCTCTGAATTGCATTAAGTATATAACATCACGATATTTTGTCAAAAAATTAAAGGTTAAATTGTGTTTGAACAGCCAAAATTTCGAGATCCATCAGTCGTGCGAAGGATAAATTCCACAAATTCTTTCACTATTTTTGTTTTGCCCTAGACATTAATTTTTAGCGAAAACCTTTTTCATAGCATGGCACAAGGGACCTCCTCTTGCGGAGGAACTTCGAACTTTGAGCGAAAAACGATCGCGGGAAGCGCCTGCAAAACTGCAAGAATACTTCAAGCATCGCGCCGCGCCGACTTCCCGATGCGGCGACGACGTTCGTGACGGATCCAGTTTCGCTCTCAGCTCTTGACTCGCGAGCGATATTTGGAGATAAGTTAGCAGCGTATGCGCACAACTTCGGTAGGTGTACGCACAAATGGAGAGGATTTCGATCAAAACGTAAAAAATTGTATGTATTTCATCCAGTATTCAAGGTTGCAGTCCAATTTGAATCCCTCACGCAACCGTTTCGCGTTTTCAAGAACGAGGGGGTAAATATTTGTTCTTTCAGGCCAAATACGTCTTCATTTTTGAAATTTTAGGGAGTTTTTGCTTCCGTAAGCGATTATCAGTGGTGCAGTAATCAGTGCGAAAGTCATCATTGCATTTTATGTAGAGAAAGTGTAAATGATAGTTTTCACGCACATTACGGTTTAAAATACGAAAAATTGTACTTGAAACGGTGAAAGTAGGTAGAAAGAATTCCGTCGACTCTCAGAAAGACTCACGCGTCAATTCTTATTTTCCTTCTTTCTTCGCTTGGACGGGAGGACAATTATTGCGGCGACCACTATCCGATTTTCGGTTGCACTCTTCCAACACATTTATTTTTCCGAGATTTGAAACGAGTCAATTGAAACAGTTTTCGCTGTTTTTCTCGAACTCTCATTTCTGGAGCTTGAGACTTTTTTTAATTGACCGAGGGTTGGAAAACAAGAAGAAAGCCTGACGGTATTGATAGATCTTTTTTACCATTGACGTCAGAAGGAGTTGAGGCGCAATCCGACAAAAAATTGACGGGCTCTTTTTTATCCTGATGCGATGGATAGCGTAATGTTTACACCGATACGGCGAGTGTGAAAATGTAAGAGAAGGCTTTTATTTCAGTCACCTCACTCGACGGGAGTTTCAGCCTCGTGCGCATTGAGGACCTGGTGTTCAGCAAGCTTCAGTGCTCGGATTCGTAGTTCAAACCACAGTTCTAAAATGTTCGAACCTCAGCGAGGAGCGCCGCCGGCACATCCTGAGAGTCGCACACTAAAAGGTACACACTTAAAAATGTCCGTGTTCGTGGTTACTTTGGGTCACTCTACCTTGTGTCACTTTTTTCCCTTCAGGGTTGTTTTTAATTGTTTAAAATGGGCCCCTAGACAAGGTACGAATTTCAGCATTCTGATACATGTTTCTTAACCAAAATTTCACGTAAAACACGATACTCGCAACGAAAATTACTGAAATCAACTCCTTGCGAAGATATTTAATGATTCTTGATGCGTGAATTCAAACCACCCGCTCATGGAAACTTAATGCTCTGCGTGATTCACATCGCGCGCTAAACGTGATCATGACAGTCTGTGCGATATAAAAATCTGGCAACCGCGATCTTGACGCTTTGGCTCAGCTATAGCAAATTGCTTAAAGTTTGAACAACACATGATGGGAAATGAACACTGCTCGATAAAGAAGATCGCCGAAACCGTTGTAGTGCGCGATTTGACTAACGTAGAGCTTTGGGTTTCTTGTGAGCGGGCAGTTCAAATTTCTTGTAACCAATGTGAAATAAAATCGTTAATATCTTCGTTAGGAGTTGGTTTCAGTAATTTTCATTACGCGAGTCGTGTTCTACGTGAAATTCTGGTTAAGAAACATGTATCAGAATCCTTTAACTCGTACCTGGTCTAGTAGTCCATTGTGTGCCACTGTTTAAAATTGTAAAAAACTCCAACGCAAATAGGAATACAAAAAAATAGCTATCGGACAAGCTCGTAGAAATTAAATGGTGCATTACAAAATGCTACGAAAAATTACTTTCGAATCATATGAGAAATTATATATTACGTCGACATCAAGACACTGAGGATATTTTTCAGAGAATCAAACCCTACGATTTTGGATCTTGAAATCTTTGGGATGTTATTTTGAATCTTGAATTCTTTGGGATGTTTAACATATCGTCCTTCTTCTCAATAGACTAGCACTCGTTGCAGACCATTTTCACCAACATGTTTCTCTAAAGGTGCAAACTATCTTCATAAACTTAGGTATCAACCTGTGTGAAAATGTTTTGAAAGCAGACCTGAATGTAGTTTCAGGGTATTTTTACTATTTTTACTACAGCACATATGAGTAAATACAAACTGTGCTAGTGGTAGTTTGTTATTGCAGTGAATATGTAGTACACAGTGCTGCCAGAACCCTCTTCTCCCTCAATTTCTGAATGACCACAACTAAAAAGATAATCATGACACCAAATTAATTCCATTGCGAGCATAGATATATCTCTGTTGATAGCGGATTTCTGGTGTGGGCAGGTCCATTATCATCATGAATTTGCCGTTGCAAATTCTCGTGAAGTGCAAAAAAATTTCCTTTGGAGTCAATTTCCAGCTTTGAGCAGTTTCGTTGCGACCTTACTATGCACAAAAATGCTTCGTTCACTTGAACGTTTCGAGGAACGTCCCTAAAAAAGAAACGGAACTTCGGTGCTTCGGGTAATTAACTAATCGCTTTTACTTGATGATAATTAATTGATGGATGTTTCATTCTTTACGTCTTGCACTACATGAGACTCCTGAAGTTTCTCGACAGCCGTCGTGTAAAAAAATGTACAAATCGGCGCGTGTTACAGCTAGACGACAGATTCTGTGTTTGCGCAAATACAACAGTTCGGAAATATAGGAGCAAATAGAAAACAAAACATTTCTTGCATCCTTGTTTTAAAGGATCCAGGTGAGGTCTGAATTCACCACAATCAACTTCGAAAACGACATGGAGCGCGTACCTATTTTTGCAGATAAATCGTGCAGACATCAGAAAAGACATCTTTTTAAAAGGCGTCTTTAAAAAAGGGATCTTTCTCTTTGTCGGCCTCCTATGGTGTAGTGGTTGTAGCGCTAGCTCTATAGGTCTCGATAGACGATCAAATTCCCGAACCAATTCCGATCAAAGTAGCATCAAAGTGTCGGGAGTCATCAGTCTTAAACTCATTAATTTGCTTCATTTTAAAATGAAAACTTGGCAGAAATGTTTCCTGTGACAGGAAATGATGAATTGTGGCACTCCGTTCTGATTTTACTTTGAACAAAAAAGTGCGGCCCGTCAGAATGTGATGGTGGATGGTGACCACCAGTCATCAGCATGTCTACTTTGATCGGAATTGGTTCGGAATTTGATCGTCTATCCAGGACTTATGATCGGGAGGTCACGCGTTCGATTCCCGGCCAGGGGACCCGAATTTGATGGTCTTAAACAAAGGTTGCCTGGGGCTGGTTGTTAGGGATGGAGGGGGGACGGGACTAAAAGCGCAGGATTAGCCTTCATGGGCTTTTTGAAGAAGTAAAAAAGGAAAAAAGAAAAAAAAAAGCCTAGGCGCACTGTATAATACGATGCGATTTTCCTGTCCTCTGAAGTCCTGATTCAAAATTAGGCAATGACTTAGTTGCACTGGTCACAGAATCGTGTTTCTATGCTTGATTCTCGTAGATTAGTTCAAAATAAAGATCTGTTCAAACTATATCCTTCTACGTTGAATGTTAACCGAGATATCGCGCTTTGAAAAATTGATTTCGTCCGAGTTCCATGTTGAGTAACCAGTGCAAATGTGTCTCCCTGACTGACGAAAGCAAGGCGGAAGAAACCAAGGGTGTCACTACCGCGGTGGATGACGTCATAAACCGAATTTTGCAAAGCACTACCTATATCTCGCTTGATATTGAACGTAGTAAGTTGTCGGTTTTGTGACGTCAAGCTGGTACACATTTACCAAAAACAAGAAGCATCTCCGGGTCATCGTGCGTCGATGAGTAAGGCGGTTGCTGCGTGGACCAATCAGAGTGGCCCTCGATCGGCTAAGTTTCGTCGCTCCTCTGACGTCAGGGCGTATCTCAATTTCCTTATGAGCCCCAGAAAGAACGGCGTTATACGGAGCACAGTGGTCACGTGGTAATCGAGATACGCCCTTACGTCAGAGGAGCGGCGCGTTTGAATCTGAGTGGAGTAACGCTCTTCGGTATTGAGCTTTCACTTCCTCGATTATTAGACAACGTCATAAATGGATTAGTTAGTTTTCTAAAGTAAAATTTCATCCTCTTTCGAAGAGATACTTATGGATTTCTGCATCAGATCAACCCCCGAGAGGATATCAGCACGAAAGGAACACGCGTCAGGCATTCTCCCAAAAGAACACATGTTAAACCGAGGCCGAGTTTCATCTACTAGCGTGACGTCACAGAAACGTAGTTATATGCGGCCTCTCCGTTCTCGTAGGCAACGGTTGCACGTTGGACGGATCTTATTATTTTGACCTAATCTACAAGAACCAAGCATGAAAACATGATTATGTGACCAGCGCGAATGACCCATTGCCCTCGCCCGTTTCAGTTTACCAGCTACCCCTCATTCATAAATTATTCTTTGAAACTTTTGCAGGAATTTTAACGACGGTTCTGGTTCTATGGATGCTAGCATCCACACAGTCTGTAACCGCTATAACTATGGACAAGTTGAAGTTTGACGTGGGTGACTTCTTGATCTACTCAGTGCTGGGCAAAGAAAAGAACTGCAAAGCACCGCACCACTACATGATAGCAATGTCCCAAAACCAGGCATTTGACATTCACGTAACTGACGAGAACAAGTTTTGGTGTAAAGGGAGGATACTTGACAAGAGTAATGTGCCCGATGGATTGAAGAATCATATGTTCGAAACAAAGGGAGTCGATAAGAAATATATCATTGGCTGGAAGAAAACCTTTACTTTGGCGTTGAGGCTAAGGGGCGTAGAGTTACCGTATAACACTTTCAATTGCAACTGTAAACACTACGCTTATTACTTGGTGTACGGTAGAACTTTTGCCTGCTGGTCCTCTATCACATACGGGTAAGTTACCTTCTAGTAAAAGCAGGGTGTCTACCAGTTATGGAAAACCAAAAAACTTTCGGGGACTTTTAGGGGAGTTTTTTTCAAGAAAATCGGGTATTCTTTTTTCCCGAAATAGTAAGAGAAAGGGAGCTGGTTATAGCGTTAAAAAGCGTATATTATACGACTAATTTGACAAGTCTTGTTGAACCGATGAAAACATACAAAAAACCAAGCAACACTTCAGTTATTTTATTCCTGGTTATACCGCGACGCCGCGGCTGGGGGGAAAATTTGAAAATGCCGGTGTTTAGGACGTTTTTAGTCAATTTTTGGGGACCTGAACAAGAAAATTGGGGACTTTTGGGGATATCGGGGACATCCTCCCAAAATCGGGGATAATTAAGGACATTGGGGACTTTTGGGTACCGGTAGACACCCTGAAAAATTCGTCCCAGGGGCTTAGAGGAAGAGTGGGATAAGTGCAGTTTTTGCTACCTATTTCAGGAGATACGCGGTTAAAGTTTCAAAATTACGTGGAGCTTAGTGGCGGAAAAAAAATTAAAACTCACTTCTTGGTGCTTAAACACGGAGAAAAAAACTTCGTGCATGGGACCCGAAGTTGAGGTCGTATGGATCTCTGAAGTTTTTGGATCACGCATCCGAAAACTTGAGGTCCAACTGCCGAAGTTCGGGTCAGACATCTGAAGCTCTCTGTATGTACCGGAGTACTTCAGGTGTGTGACCTGAACCCTTCGGTGTATACCGAAGTACTTCAGAAGTCTGACCCGAACTTCGACAATGGACCTCAAGTTTTTGGATACGTGATCCAAAAACTTCAGAGATCCATATGACCTCAACTTCGGTTCCCATTCACGAAGTTTTTTTCTCCGTGAAAATTGGATTGTAGAGCTGAATTCTTCACAGAATGTATTGTACTAGTTTCAGTTGAGCTCATTACTATCTCAATTGCTTCAAACACTGAGCTTATTGTTGTCTTCCAAGCCCCTTAAATTAAAAACAAATTTTGTTAAAAACAAATTTTACTCGGATACCAAATGATTGTTCAATGTTTAGGACCGGCAGCGCCGTCAATGAATATTTCGGAAAATTCACCATGTCGTGATAAAAATCATTAGTTGTTCACTTCATCAGCGCCTTACAATGGATCGAGACAATGGAGAAGGTCGGACAAAATTTGGAAGCTTTAAAAGCTCTTAACTCCGTTCTTACGAAATTTTGAGGTTTTAAAGTGGTTCCATTGATTTCCTCGTAAAATTTTCTTTCAAAAGCCATTGAACTTGTGACGAAATAAACATCATAATTTGCAATTTTATTAAAAAAAGTTCATGTCCGAACTCTCGAATTGAGTCGATCCATTGTGCGCCGCGGGTGAAGTGGTGAGCGCAATAAGTGCCGCATGGGGAGTCAAAACGCCTTCACTTGCGTGCGTATGCAACACGGACATCCGTGGAGCTCAAATAGTTGCATCCAGGCGTTATAATGAAAATCGCCGAGTGTTCGTTGCAAGAGAGACAAACTGAGGATGCTTTGCTCGTTGTTCTAACGCCGCAACGTAATTCAAGCGTCGTCAATTGTGCGGGTGAAGTGAACTATCACTGATTTTTATCTTAGCATTGTCAATTTCCGAAAAATTCTATCGTTTAAATTATTGAAACGTTGCCTTCGTGAAATGTGGACTGCGGCCCCTGCCATTACAAACCCAAGAAAAACGAATGCTGTAGAGTCGTTTCATGGAAACTTTCAGCATTATTTTTCGGGGCGCATCCTCACACATTTTTTTATACCAGATTCCGACCACAATAAACCATAATCCAATTTCAAATTATCATTTTCTCGCGTATTCATATTTCTGATCTCCAAGATTTAGAACGAGTCGATTAAAACAGTTTTTACTGTTCTCTCGAATTCCATTTCTGGCACTTTAGTCTTTTCGAGAATAAGTGATTCGATTGGGGTGTTCTTAACGACTATTTTATCACGATTTATTCGTCATACTTGTTTTCCTATTCTCTGTGTCGGATATTCCCTTCCCCTGAACGTATCTTTGAAGCGCTCGAGTCCAACTCGTTGAACGCAATAAAGCGGGCCTGCCCGAAAGTCGTTTTCTGGTCCGTTACGCGTCCGTGGACATATCTGCCGTGCTAAGTGATAACGCCGTATGAGCATTCGAATGTTGTCAAATTTCCTCTCCAAGAAGATTTATTTTTGAAGAAAGTTATTTACATTTTACCGCACAGTTTTCAGACTTTTTAGATCAAATTACCCATGAAGTCCTTTGAAAAATCGGAACAAAAACATTCACAAATTTTTCTAAAAATTTGTGACATGTCTGAGGGAAATTTGGCATCGCCTAATGGCTCATACGGCATTCTTCTTTAGTACGGCAGATGTATCATCGCTCCTCTGATTCCAACGTAAGGGCGTACTTAACTAAATTTTGGGACGAGACCTGGAATCCGTATAACTCCCTGTTTTCCAGGGCTCGAATCCGTTTAACTCCCTGTTTTCCAGGGCTCGAATCCGTATAACTCCCTGTTTTCCAGGGCTCGAATCCGTATAACTCCCTGTTTTCCAGGGCTCGAATCCGTATAACTCCGTTTTCCAGGGCTCACTTAAAAATTAAGATACGCTTTTACGCCAGAGGTGTGACGACTTATTACTTATAAATTTATTTTCTCTTCTCTGCTGGCAGTGTTTGACAATAAAAACCACCGAAAAACCGTCATATTTATCTCACACTTTTCCAGGTAGGCGTTGTTTGGAAATATTCAACTAATAGAAACTATAAGGTTATGTGGAGGAGGTTTAGAGGAATAAGTCGGCTGATGATACCCAATTTGAGGCAATGCTCCGTACTCCGATTTATTGAAGCCCCATGGCAACCAGGAGTGTCACATTAAGATAGCCGGCTGAGTGTCGTCAGCTGGCAGAGTTTTTAACTTCTGCCTTTCCATTTTCACTACACTGATTAGGAAAATTCTGCGTATATGTCTGGAAAAGTGAATTTTCTAATACATTGACTCTTGGCAGCATTATTCTGGGTGTTTATCTATGAATAGTGCTTTATTCAGCATGACGTCAAGGCCTTAATGACAACGATTTTTTGGGGGGTTGGATTTTTTTTTCATTTTTTGGCTTGAGTTTTTGCCTTCATGTTTCATAAAAAATTCTCGCACCGACAAGTTTAATAAGCTGGAAACTTTCTCTCCTTGATTCTTTTTTCGGTGTGCTGTTAGCATACTTACTTAGTAAACAAATTTTTTTGAACACATTTTCCCAACTTTTTTTTATCCTTGAAACAGAACGAACATGTGGACCGAGTTAAACAGAAATGAACCAAGCCACATCAGCTATTGCCAAATTGAACTGGGCAATTAAATTTTTTACGAGAGAATGTTTGTTCGGATTTGTTTGACAATTTTAAGGAATTTGCTTCGTACCATAGAGAATTTTCACTGAAATTTGCACGAAAATCGGCACAACCGTTTTCATGTAAAAAATTAAATTGCCCAATTAAATTTGGCAATAGCTGATGTGGCTTGGTTCCTTTCTGTTTAACGTGGTCCAAATATAGTACGAATGGATTTTTTCGAATACTTTGCTTTTAATATGAAATCAGGCTCAGCAGTATAGAACCAAAATCGAACTAATTTCGGACCGAAAAGTCATTTTAATCGAGCCATTGTTATTTCCTTCGTCGCTTCGGTTTCGGTTCATCGTATCTCCTGAAACCAGACTACAGTTGGACGTATTTATGCCAAACGGAACTATGTGCATTAAGACATGAGCCCTGAGACCCCTAAGGATGTATGTATAACAAAGCTCACGTCATAATGCACATAGTTCCGTTCAGCAGAAATACGTTCAGTTCACAGTTCGGCTCGCCAGAAAATACCGGTTCATTCCGGTCTTCGGTTCGGTTCACAGCCATAGCCCTGATCTCATCGATGAAGCCCATCGAAATTCAAATTTTGGGGCTTGAGCAATTTTCAATAGTGCACCTTTGAGGAGCGTTCAGTGAAGAGGAACCATGTGACATGAATTTCGAAAAAACATGCGTTTCAGTTCTCAGAAAGGCTCGGTGTAAAAATTACATCTCATGTCAACTTTTCGCACTATACGAAACATTTTTGTGCACTTTAGATTTTTTGTCGCTGTGTCTTTCTTGTTAACATGTTGTGTCATGTTTTGAGCCTCCCCGTGAGAATAGATGTATAAATAATTTGTCACCTGTTTTGAAAACTGAATGTTTTTTGAGGGACAAATGTGCTCTATGGCCGATGTCAGAACTATCCCGAAAATGAACCTAGAGCAAACATTTTTGTGTATCGTCACCGCATCGAGGTGTGATTCGGATTTTATCATTTTAAGTAAATGAAACAAATCCAAGGGGAGAATAGAATCATGTCAATCGAGCGTTTCATTAAATCTTGAAGTTACACTTCTAGCCCAGAAATCAATTCAAAAGTACGGACAAAAAATTTTACAAACGGATTGGGAAAATTGAGCGATAAAACTTTTTCGATCGCAGCTTAAACTTGTTTGCTTAATTAACTTCAAATTTTAATTATTTGCTTTCGAGTTATGAATCTACTACCCGCATGTCCATCCGATTTATTGAAAATAACACGAATACAAACACATCTTTAATGTTGTATCGAAAAGGTGTGTATACACACACCTAATAACCTTGAAATAGAAGAATGATGAGAATATTGTAGCCATAATAGCTTAATTATGTTGGTTATATTATATGCCGCGAAGCACTTTTCGGCTGACATAGCCATCCGCAGGCAATACCGAAAACCAAACAACAAATGAAGCCAACCCCGAAACAATACCCTAATAAGTACAGCATATTCTACAAGTAGTGTCTTACACAGAAAATCTTAAATTATTTCTGGTCCAAGAATGAGAAATTAGAGAAGCAGAGAAGGCAGTGAAAGCAAGGTAGCAGAGAGATGCCTATGATAGCAAAATTCATTCTTTTGTTTCAA